TGGGAAATACGGCACCAGACACTTTCCTTTAGATGCCCCTTCAGACTTTGGACTGGGGACCCAGTTCCTGGTCCCTGCTAGAACCTTAGCAGAATGTGTTTTTGTTTCAGTGTTCCTCTGGGGTGCTTCATGAATCAGACAGGTTGAGGATGGACTGTCCCAGCTGCAGGAAGAGCACCTGTTCCCAGTGCAGATCACCAGTAAGCCTCACTAACCCGCCCACCCAAACACATGCAGGCAGCTGAACTGGACCCAGACCAGAACCTGACTGTGTTCTGTCTGCTCTGCAGTGGTCAACTCACCATCAGGGACGGTCCTGTGATGAGTTTAAGGTGTGGCAGCAGCAGAACCAGCAGGATGATCATCCACCTTCCATGCTCCAAAACCTTATCGGTAAACGATGTGCTGGGCTTCAACATTGTGTAGCGTCCACAGTTCCAGGATACCACATTAAAACCACCAGGAGAACGCACTAAAGCCAGCCATTGCCCCTGAAGCCAGCTCTGGGGTTGGCGTTCGCCAGTGAGCGCCTGGCGGTCAGGTTCTTCCTCAAGGAACCGGGCCAGGCCAAATTTGAAGCAGTGAGGCAAGTGGGCTAACCCTCCACCTGCAGGGGGAACCATGAGGGACCGGTGCAGAGAGAACTGGCTGATGGAGGCGGCGTGATCCACAGACGCTTTAACTGGCTCTGGGGACAGAGGAAGTGACCTCGCTGGGGGGTGAGCCTGAGCTTGTGCAAGAGGGGGAGTGATACCTGCATGTAATAGTCGGATTGGCCCGGGCTCTGGAACCCAGCTGCTTGAGAGAGGCTGGACTCGCCTACTCTGGAGTGGCCCATGGGGGGGCCTGCTTCTCTCCCCAGTTTAACTGTCTCCTGGGGGCCAGTACAGAGTAGCAGGCCTTCTTAGTGTCCCTGGCAGAGGTGCAGGGTAGCTGGGAAAGGACAGTTACATTAAAGGAATAGTACACCCAAAACATGATTAGCCTTCATTTTCTACTCACCCCCATGCTGAACAACACTCTGGAGTACTTTTTTGATA